AGTATATAATTTTGATTGTGACATTTTATTTATTTATTTTTCTTATTATTTGTTTATCCCCGAAATTCTATCATCCTAAACCGCGTTGGTATAATGGTCAAATAAAGGAAGCGGTGTTTTCTGTTTTGAGTTTGAGTTTGAGTTTTTATAATCAAAATAAATTCAAAAATTCAAGTTTTTATAATCATATAAAACTCAAATTTAACACATACATATTATTCAAGATTTTCATTGGAATTATTCTCGTGACAAAAAAAAAAAAAGAGCTAGGCTATTTTGTAATTTTAAAAGTTACTTTAAGTTGCCATATTCAATACGACATAGCCATAAAAGGTCAGAGCATTTGGCCCCCACCTTTGAATATTCATGTATGCAAGAGAGTGTCAAAGTTGTGGAAAAACTTGTCATCTTTTGTTGTCTATTTTTGACAGAAGTATTATTGATTAAAAAACCAACTAGTCCTTAATCATGGAGTACCTGTTTCTGTTTATAAATATCTTCCACTGGTATCATATAGGACTGTAAATAAATAGTCATGTCATGTCTTTTTCTTTAATTTGTATTAAAATTTGTTCAATTTATATCCGATTGTATTGAAGTTTAGCCATGTTCGTATTGTGTATAATTAAATTCTTATCTTAGTTATTTAAAATTTACTAACTTTAATAGCTTTTATTGATAAATCTCCCTTGTCTTGTTCACAGAACATAGCAACTACAAGTAGTAAAGTGAAAGAGCTTTTGAGAAGAGGTGGTCATGGCAAGAGAACAACTAAAAGTGCTTAATGCACTTGATATAGCCAAAACACAATGGTACCATTTCACTGCAATTATAATTGCTGGCATGGGCTTCTTCACCGACGCCTATGATCTCTTCTGTATCTCTCTTGTCACCAAATCGCTCGGCCGCATATACTACCATGATGATCATTCAAAAAAACCCGGCATTTTGCCACCAAACGTGGCAGCCGCGGCCAATGGTGTCGCCTTTTGTGGTACGCTTGCGGGCCAACTCTTTTTCGGGTGGCTCGGTGACAAAATGGGCCGCAAAAAAGTCTATGGCATGACCCTTATGCTCATGGTCATTTGCTCAATTGCCTCTGGTCTCTCATTTGGCAAAGACCCTGCGGCTGTTATGGCCACACTTTGCTTCTTTCGATTCTGGCTTGGGTTTGGCATTGGCGGGGATTACCCGCTTTCTGCCACCATAATGTCCGAGTATGCTAATAAAAAGACTCGTGGAGCATTCATCGCGGCCGTGTTTGCCATGCAAGGTTTTGGAATTTTGGCCGGTGGAATTGTTGCCATTATAGTCTCTGCTGCTTTTAACTCCGCTTATCCTGCCAGGCCCTATTCCGAAGACGCTATTGGCTCTACCGTCCCCCAAGCTGACTATGTTTGGCGGATAGTTGTGATGTTTGGTGCTGTACCCGCCGCACTAACGTATTATTGGCGGATGAAGATGCCTGAAACAGCCCGTTACACGGCCTTAGTGGCCAAGAACGCTAAACAGGCCGCTGCTGATATGTCCAAAGTACTCCAAGTCGATTTAGAAGTGGAACCGGAAATAATTGAGAAGAGAAGAGGAAACGATTTTGGGTTGTTTTCGAAGGAGTTTTTGCGACGCCATGGGCTACACTTGCTTGGAACCACTAGTACATGGTTCTTATTGGACATTGCTTTCTATAGCCAGAACTTGTTCCAGAAGGACATTTTCAGTAAAATTGGGTGGATTCCTCCTGCAGAAACGATGAACGCCATCGAAGAGGTTTACAAAATCGCCAGGGCCCAAACTCTCATAGCTCTCTGCAGTACCATTCCTGGATACTGGTTTACTGTGGCATTAATTGATAGAATCGGGCGATTTGCAATTCAATTAATGGGCTTCTTCTTCATGACAGTGTTCATGTTTGCCTTGGCCATTCCTTATGATCACTGGACTCATAAAGACAACAGAATTGGGTTTGTGGTTATGTACTCACTCACCTTCTTCTTCGCCAATTTCGGTCCAAACGCCACAACTTTTATTGTTCCAGCTGAGATTTTCCCAGCAAGGCTGAGGTCAACATGCCATGGAATATCAGCAGCCGCTGGGAAGGCTGGAGCCATTGTCGGGGCGTTCGGGTTTTTATACGCTTCTCAAAGCACGGACCCCAAAAAGACTGACGCTGGCTATCCAGCGGGCATTGGTATGAAGAATTCACTCATTGTTTTGGGTTGCATCAACTTCTTTGGTATGGTGTTCACTTTCTTGGTCCCTGAAGCAAATGGAAAATCATTGGAAGAAATGTCACAAGAGAATGAGGAAGAAAGTGAATCAGCAACAGAGATAAGGCCACAGAATGGTGGTCATGATATTAGGAAAGTTCCAGTTTAATTATTTTCTTAATATATCAGAAAACTATCTTAGATTGCAATAAGTCCCTCAGGACTATGCTTTTCTATATTAAAATCTGGTCTGTGTTTATATATAGCTATGATAGATTTTGAACTAATAAACTGCAAATCTTCCAACAAAAAAACAAAATCATCACACAAGCGAGGTTACTGCAGTTCTTTCAACTTTTGTTTGGAGAATCATATTTTTGCCTCCACAATAAGCAAATCACGATGAGTTAATTTGATTGGATGTCTTCTAACAAAAAACAAAAATATCACACAAGTGGGATTACCTCAGTTCCTTCGACTTTCGTTTTGGGATTAACAGAATCTTTATTTACTAAGACTCAGATCGGTAAACAACCAACAATTATAATAACGTGATTTTCACTGACTACTTCTTACCCACTTTATTTCAATCCCTAAGAAAATCAAATTACAAATTATGCCGACCCCACTTGATTGGCTAAATTTTGATGTTTATCCAGTATAAAAAATTCAATAAAATCCGATCGGACCAAATTCAATGATCCATACATTTAGTGATTACGGTGATAAAACAATTATAAAATGTATCTCCTACAAAGCTGGGATGTAGAATTTTCTTGATGCTTTAGTTTAAACCCTGAGAGCCTATGGTTCACATGCTCTTATTGTTTGATTGAAAGTCGTTCTCTTAGTTTAATTTCATTGTTTTTGACATGCTAATTAATCAAACCAGCACAAACTTCACTTTACCTCCCTGTGCTATCTTCCAAATGCAATAATTGTTCAGAAAGCATATTTGGCAAACTAACTAATAAGTATTGATGGGTATTCTGTGGCGATAATTGCAGAGCTTGCAACAATGGTGGTTGTGTATTTTTTCTTTTTTTTCAATTTTCTGTTGAAGATCATTAATTCTTTCCTCTACCAATAATTAATCAATATGTATCTAGTTTCCTAAAAGGATAAGATTCTAAAAGAATTCAAATTTACTGATTTGATTAGCATTCCAAAGAACCCTAATTTTCCAATTGGATTTACATTCATAAAAACGGCTTACCCTTGTAAGGTTCAATCCTATCAACTCAGTTCTCACTGTTCCAAAAAAAAAAAAAACTAAGCCCTCTGATCGATTTATTCGTGCTGGATACAGCAGTGGAGAGCAAGTATAAGAAGTTGAATCTACTCACTTAACCCAAGTTAGCTCAAGTACCATAAAAGAATTGTAAATTCAGACATCCTGAGTTTGTATCTTAACAACTCATTGGGGCCAAGTTATGAGAGATTTATACATCATAACTCTCCTAATCCCGGCTTGGATGACTTACTTTTAACCAAGTTATGAAGGTGATTAATCAAGATATGCGTAATCTGATCCAAACACCTTAAGTGTTGAACTGAAAAAAAGAGTCTACTCGCCCTACTACATTCACCATGGGAAACCTAACACGAACAGCAGGCTGAAGCTTAAATCCACTTGCCCTGATTGCTGGCAGAGTAAATAAATTGTTGACGATTTTCATTAAAAACTCTATCACTTATCATATTGTTCGGTCAATAAATTTGCTTACAATCGAGTTTTTGATAAAATTGTGTACGGATCCACCCGTTTATCTCTCAAACAAGCTAAACTTAAACTTGTTAACTCCATGTAAGGGAATCACAATTTGTATGGATACGAACAATACTCTTGTTGAAGGTTTTGGGCTGAATTCATATTCATGATCAACTTAGTTGTTGTCAGTTGTCTTTAGAGGTTTCTGATGTTTCCTTATGGAGAGAGAGAGAGAGAGACGTCTATGTTCTTATTCACAAGGGAATACATCTGTTTCTGGAATTTGGAAGACTTCATATCTCCAAAATATTGGGTGCCAAGTAGTTGAACCAGATTTTAAATTAAGCCATACAATCTCTTCAGCTTCAACTGTCGATGCTACAAGAAAAGTGCATAGAAACTTAATTCCCCTAAAAATATTGATACCAAAGCTTTTCATAATCCCAAAATCTCAGCAAATTTTACAGGGAAAAAATAAAATAAAAACTGATACTCAAATTCCCTGGATGCAAGATGGTGTTTCGCTTTCACCTATTCATGCTGTTTGTGGCAGCAAGTGCACAATGGAAGTAAACTTTTTGCACCAGAAGTACATTTAAGTACGATTATGAACTCTAAAGCACCTTCATTTCTGTTTGAATTCTGTATTCCAGTTCAGCCAGTTCTCCTAAACCTTTGAGCAGACTCAAAAGCTCCATAGATGTCCTCCAGATAAGACTTGCCAAACAATATACAGATACGTGAAGTGGGCTGTGGCTTCAGTTCATTCCCCCTCGGTTTAAAATAGGTAGAAGAATCTATTACAAAACTAAATATATAAACAAAGCAAAGCACCCACAATGCACTAACATCTAGTCTGGTATCCATATCTGAATGAGACCCGAGCTTTCAGATAAATTCGTTCACGCATAATAGTCAAGAAGCAAAAAAAGACCCAACATGGATTCAGAGCCATGCAGCATGAAACAAGTCATATTCAGATGATCAGATAAATTGAGCAAGAGTAATACTAGATAGACTTAAAAATTAGACTTGATAATCTCAGTCATTGAATTATTGAGCTAAATGCAAAACTATAGCACTCAACGTACCATTTCGGCTTGAGTTATTTTCCATGTTAACCTCCTCTTGCAATGACTGCTGGAGTTCTGACGATTCACAATCCTTAGAAGGCTTGCCGGTTGACAATAAAGATCAGGATTGGGAACAGAAAACGAGTTTCTGCTGCAGGTAATCTGCCTCTTAGCTGAAGAGGATTCAGCAGTGGAGCACAAATCATCATCCGTTTTCAAGGTCCTACATGTGTTGTTGCCATTAATCAAGTAATCCTGTGGTGGCCTTTCATCTTCCACAGGTTTTGGTCTCTTCCTGTTGAGCAAACCGTTCTTGGAAATTTGAATCGAGGGCACCCTCTGATCATGGGATGAGCTACTAGGGTATAGAATCTTTTCCTTTAAAACCAATTTTGGAATGGCCAAGTTTTCAACTGTGTCAGAGTTATCGAAAACTTCTTCATTAGTCCCGATGATGATGGGATTTTGGACATAAGCTGCCCAATCAAAAAGCCCAATTCACTCGAAAGGCCATTGTCTGTAAAACCACCCAAACAGCCAACCTGCTTGTTCAAAGGGCAAATTGGGCCACAAGGAAGAAAACCCAGCGACTCCAGAGATCCAGGGGTCCAGTGCAAACCCAACACAGCTCGGCAGACGACCAATTCGGGACCCAGGAGCTCGGTTCCTCGATTACCCAAATTCCTTCCATCATGCCAGTGTCTAGGGGACAAGGGGACCACTTCTGGCTCTTGTAACGAGCGCACAATCTTTGCCACAAAATCTGTTAGTGCGCATAACTGTTTGAGCAACGTGGGTGCAATAACATATATGACAGAAATCATTGCAGGACAAAAGAGAAGGGACTCACAAAATCAGCAGAAATGTAGAAAAGAGACACCAGAAACTCTAGAGAAATCACTTGTATAAATAAGACACTATTACATTGTGAAAAACAGATTCATCGTCTTCCCCTCAGCATCTACTGCTAGCCTCTCTTGGCAACTCGTATTCATAAAAACTTCTCCTACAAATGCTCAAGGCCATGCAGAATAATCACCGTAACAACTCTCTTTAAGGAATATATATCCACGAAGAGCGAGAGACTCTCTTATAATAGACATAGCCTTAGTTTTTCAACTAGAGTGAACTACTCACATTGTGCATCCTTTTCCGTTCATAGTTTTCATCTGTTTTTAATCTGAATATTTGCTTTATCCCCTCACCAAACCATTCAACCACAGTCCATTCAACCACGGTTCTGGACTTGGGACATTATTTCTGAGCACCATCAAGTCCCATTAGATATTGTTGCCCTTGCAGTCACTTCCCTTTTCCTCGTGATGTGTATCGCTTCAGTTAAATGGTTCCTTGCTCAAAAAATTGATCCCAATATATTAAATAATAATTTTTTTTTTTTTTTATTACGTCATTTAAAATTTATTTTTACCAATTATTTTCTTTAAAATATCAACAATTTCTTTTTCAAAATACGTAATTCGATAAAATTTTCTCAACATCTATATATTATCGAATATGGATAATATCTAAAATAAAAATTATGGTAAACTACAAATTAATCAAATATTAAATGATTGAACATGTGATAGAAATAAATAATATGATATTTTTTAAGACAAAAAATATATAAGAAATAAAAATTCAAGTTTTTAGATGTTTTATTATAAAGATATTCTTTTCTTTTTCGTTTTCCATTCATCTCCCCCCCCCCCCCCCCAAAAAAAAAAAAATAACTTTGAACTCAAACATTTGTAAGTGTAATAATTTTGCTGTAAGATGGGAAGGATTGGTTTTAGAATGAGAAAAGGTGCACCAACTTGCCCCTAGAAATCAAATGCTTATATGATAAAGGTCAAATTTCACAGCTCATGCTTGAGCTCATTGTTCTCCGTTCTCATCGTTTTTCCTCCACTTTGAGACACTATTATATCAGTATCTACAAAAATAGGCTCATGATTATCCATCTCTTCATTTTCGCCGCATTCAACGACCTACACATCTCTCAGGTTATAAACTTGTCTCTATGCTTTCAAAAGTCAGGCTGTTTTGAAGTGGGATCATGAATTATCGATTTATAATATAAGTGACTATTCTATTGGGTATAGTGTTAATTAAACAACTTTGTGTGGGGGTAAGTGAACAAGTTGTGAGTTAATTGTGCGTGTTTGTATTAAAAAAAACAAAAAAAGTTGAACCACTCATGTATCCAACATTGGTTGCACAACTTGTGTCTCTGAGGTTTCTAAACTAAGCATTGATAGTGCAATATTTATATTTAAAATAGTAATTTATTTTCTTTTTTTTTTTCACTTCAATTACACAATTTAAAAGTAAAATGAACAGAAAAAAAATAAGGGAAAAATAGTTGTGGATCTCTGAGGTTGTCTAGAATTCAAGAGTGTGTTGGTTTAGTTGTTTAACATTAGAGATAATACAAATAAGATAATATTTTTGAACAGAAGCAAAAATTAGGATGAATTTTATACAATTAGATCAAAGTAAATATTGACTGTTGTCGTATTTTTATAAAATAAATATTCAATATTCTAACTGTGATATTAAATAAATTTTTTGATCCATTTAACATGGTTGTTTTAAGGTGCCAAAAAAAATAAATAAAAAGTACAAAAAATATATTTATATCAGTTTAAATAAATTATAAAAAGGATTGACCAAATTGTGGCGCAGAATTGGGAAACACTTGGCATGCTGCAATCTAAGACCACCTAGTAGGACCACCAAAAATTGAACTGAACTAATTAGCTTTGTAGTCTGACTTCTGACTTTTAGGCAGATCTCTTGGAGTCAACAAACAATGGCTGCTCATACTTGGCCAGGAAACAAAGTTAAAAAACAAAAAACAAAAACAATTGGCTGCTTAACATTCATGTTTTTCTAAAACAGGTATTTACAAATTGTAAGAAAAATGTTATTTAGACTTTATTTAGGGACTTAATAATATAATTTTAAGACAACTATTAAATTAGTTGGAAGTTTCAATGTTAGATGAAATCCACAACCAATCCAATGATTATACATCATTAGATCCTTAAATAAGGTCCCTATAATATTGCTCTTAAAAAGATGTGGTTCGAATATGATACGATCTCACTTGATTGATTAACACCTCTATTTCTTACTGAAAACTCGAAAGTCCATGGAACATTAAGATCTTATCCTTCACCTTGAGTCTTTTAAAACAAAGTATTGTGATGGTCTATGCAGATATTCATGCAGTGTGATTTTTACCCGGTTTTTTGAACATTAAAGTAAAGAAATTCAACTACACGCCAATAAATGGCAAGATTAACCATGCTTCGCCATCTAATTAGTGACATACATGAATAGACTTACAAGATTTCCACCATCTCCTATTTATTATGCAACAAAACCATGGCCAAGGGAACAAGGTTGAATCAATGGAAAAGAAAAACATGTTGAATTGTTAGGAAGCGTGAGTCATCAACGCATGTTGAGTACGTCTCCACCTTTTGTACACACTGTCCATCACTCCTACCAATTGGGGATGGTCCCTTGAAGTGTTTGGATCGCGACAAAGTGGATGGTTATTCATTGCCAGTGACATCGAGAAACACCGCTTCAAAGCAAATAATTTTTATAAAATTCCTCAAGTATAAAGACTATTTTTGTGATTTAATTTTTTTTTTAAAGTTCAAAAGTCATCATGTAGTGAAAAAACAAAATATTTACACGATCCAGCAAAATCATCTATTCAAATTTGACAAAATCCAATTTGTATAATAAAAATAATGGTAACAACCCCCCCCCCAAAAAAAAATATATATATATATATATATATATATATATTGTGCTACTAGCTCACCATAATTTCATTTACCTTTCTACCCCAGAATTTTGAAAATTTTACCATGTTTTTTCCTTCAAATATTTGCATATTCTCCTAAAAAAAAAATTGATTTGCATGTTTATTCCATCAAATTGAGCTGGCCTCTCAAACACAATCCAAAAGTTAAAGATGAATCCTTTATATCAATATCAACAAAACTCAGTAGTTCTATTTCCTTCCACAACCACACATACGAGATGAAACTAGCCATTAAAATTTGATAATGATGCACACTAGGTCGATCGAATAAATCATTTAAGCATACTGTTATATGGCATATGGCCAAACAGAATGTTACTTCACTAGGTAGTGGATTGGGTGAAAAGAGTTCCCTATAAGACTGCCTAGTCGGGATTTGAAAAATTAGTCGAAATTTGAAGATAATTATGATCAAATAAGATTGAGATACATTTCAATAAAGTCTTTATTTTGGATCGATTGTAAATAATAACAGATTGATCCTAACAAATTTAGATCGCTTCAATCAGTTCTAACTTGATCCAATTGAATCATATCTTGGTTGATTCGATTGTACATTTTAGTATACCAAAAATCTTTAGTACTATAGAAAATCCATTAAAATTTTAGACACGGAAAGAGAAGTCTCATGAACTATGTCACTTTACTAAATCATCACAATGTAGCCGCGATTAGGGCCAAGTCTCAAAGACGAGAAACTTCTTGCAAAGTCTAAGATGATATCTAAAGGTTTATTTCATAACACCAAGGATTAAAATTGAATATTTTAACAACTTAATAACTTAAACTCGTTTAATAACTTAAAATTTATTCTACTTAACATTTTAAGTACTTTTTAAAAATAGGCTAAAATTTTAAGTAGCAAGTCACTTTCTTATTACTTAATGTTGAAAATGTTAATTAGTAAAGATTTTTTCAATTTCTCATAATGGATAAATATACCCTCACCACAGTTATGTCACCACCACTACTACCAATACTATCACCACCATCACCATCACCAATTAATACTATCACCGCCACCACTACCATTGTTCCATCATCACCACCACCACCATCGTTATCGCTACCACTACCATTGCGCCACCTCCCCCACCATTGTTGTCACCACCACCATCGTCGCTGTCACCACTACCACCATCATTGTGATGGTGGTGATAAGAATAAAGCAGTTGCAGAGAGATGATTAAAGAGAAGAGAAAAGTTAGAATAATAATAATTTTCAAACTTTAACTCCTCATATTTGTCAAACAGTTTGATTAAATTCTGATGATACTTCAAACAAGCCCTAACTATGAGATCAGGTCAGGAGGTCGGGTCAGGAGGTTAGGAAGGACACGAGGAACTCAGCGAACTAGGGGTGGAGTTCCCCTTAGGGAGATCGTAGTTGAACCGACCAGGAAACAACTAAGTGACTGTAGGAATTGGGCCCCATGCATGAAACTCTCAACCAACCAAGATTCCCTCCTAAAATCAAGGAGGATCTCATGAATAATGGGCAAAGATCTCGGCCGAAATCCCACAGAATAGGGGGCAGCCTTATAAATACCATGCAACGCCTCATCGTGAGGCAAAGAAAAAGACAGAGAGAGAGAGAGAGAGAGAGAGAAAGAAAAAAACCCTAATCAGTTTAGGACTGTCTTGTATTACATTAAACTAATCAATAAAGAAGAAAAGGAGCAAGAACCTCCATTGAAGAGTGGGCTAGCCGAGCTCCTGAGCCAGTGAACCACTATATTTTTACTGTGTACATTCCTTTAATCCCCTCAATATTTGATTGCAGCATCATACACGAGCCTTGAAGCTCTGATCCACGCTTATCTCACGTTACTTGCACCTTTTGTTCGTCCACGTTGATTTACGCCATCAGTTTGACTCCATCTGTGGGAATGACTGTTCCTGTTACAAATAAGCTGATCTTTTAGTGACTAATGATGTCAATATGAAACATGAGCAGAAGCCAAACAAACTCATCTCGGATGCAAGACCAGTAGGGAGCTACCAATGGCAGACAGCTCGAGAACGTCTTAGAGGATGATCCTCCCATGGAGAATTCTCCCACAAATAACGAGACAGAGGCCCTTCGCCTCGTTAATCAGCGCTTGATAAAGCAAAGCGAGGAGCTCTTGAAGCTCTTGCAGCGCCCATAGGAGGCATGTCCGGCCCAGGAAGATCAGAA